CACCACGACTTTTCGACCTCAGACAAAGATCCACAAGCTCACCTTGACATTTGAGGAAGCTCTCACCTGCCTTCTCATCAGGATTATTTGCCAGTATGTTGACCAGGGAAACTATAAAGACACAGAGAAACTTGCACACTGTTCCTCATGAATTTTCAAGGGAGATTTGCTTAATTTGGAAAAGGGGTAGAGTTCATGGGTTGGGTTAAGCAATGTGGACTCCAGTTGGGTCATCCCATGGGGCTGTGCTGCTCGGATCTATATTTTTCCCTTAGACTGATTCTCAAATACTTATCACTTTCACCAAAGGTCACCTGCAATCTCAGGAAGGAAAACATCATGAGGATCAGATCATGCTGACTCCCGTGTGCATGTTTTGTTAGCTTTCCCCCTTAACTTTAGAAAATCAGCTACATCACCATGGTAGAGTTCAGGAACCCCGAAGCAACCGTAGAAGACACCTGAGGAAAAGGCACCAGCTGTCTCTCTCCAGCCCAATTGTGTTGACAGTTAGAAACTTCCCAGTATATTAAGAAAGCATCCCAATCCAGTGCTGTCCAAGCCCATAAGTCGGCATTAGCTCATATGTCTGACACCGATCTACAAAGTCCTCCTCAATCTCACAAAACACATGCAATAATGCTGAATGCAGGAGGAAAGCCAAATCAGTGACCGTGTAAGCATCTCAGCGCTGGCAGGGGTCTCCACTCAGCTTCTCCAGCACCCAGGGCTGCATCAGGGCAGGTCCGTGTGGCTTCTCCTCAACGATGTCTCCCAGGAAGTGAGCCTTGCCAGCTGAGGCAGAGGACTAGCTAAGGCAGCCGCACACAGGCACAACCATCAGAGAACAAGAGACCAGACAGGCGAGGCTCGCTGAGCCATTTATCTCTCTGCCCTTCAATTAATCCCACATGTGTTCATTGGCTCGGTTGGCCCAATAAACCTTAACTATCACAGTTCCCAATAACATGATGATTTTTTTTTTAAGTAGAAAAAAAGAAGAAACAAATCTGTCTTGGAAGCATATCTAGAGTGCGAGGATGGTGAGACTTCTTCCCAGGTACTTTGAACATGTTGTCAAGAGAAAACAGTCCCTGGAGAGACATGTCACGCTTGGCCAAGTAGAGGGGCATCGAAAAAGAGGAAGACCCTCAGTGAGATGGACGGACACCGTGGTTGCCATGGCAAGCTCAAGCCTAGGAGTGGTTGTGAGGATGGCACAGGACCAGGCAGCGGTTTGTTCTGTTGTGCACAGGGTCGCTATGCGTGCACCGACTGTAAGGCACCTAACAAGAGGTTTTGCATGACCCACCAAGGTCAAGTGCATCTGACTCATCAAAAGGACATCGTGGCTTTAACACTGCTTGAGTACTTGTTCTCAATTTGTTAGGGTACATGACCTTGGCCTCTTGAGCCCCTCGCTCCACTGCTTGCCGGACATTGTCCGGTGTTAGGACATCAAGAGTAGGTTCAGTCCGTCGGCTCTTGCAGAGAATACAACTGCAGTTTCTCATCCGTTCCCACCAGGTGGTGTCAGTACATGGAAAGTGCCTGAAGGTGGCACACTAGAGCTCTGGGTTTTCTGGGATGCAGGCAAAACTCCAAGTGTCAGGTGATTCAGCTCCCAGGGGAGCACTTCCTTGTGGGCAGGCAGCGAGAGTAACTGCAGAAACAGCAGCTTTTTACCTAATACTCCTGTGACCGATCCACAGCTCCACACCCAGAGAGATTAGGTTGTTCATAATCTGAGAACTTATTTTACTTCGGGCAGCTACTAAAGGTTCTAATTGAGTGGTTCCTGACCCTGAAAGCACAGGAGATTAGTAAGCAATTACCCACCCACTGTCTCGGAATAGATTCTGACTTATAGTGACCCTCTCTAGGGTTTCTGATGTTATAAATCTTTACAGGCGCAATCGATCTCAGCATTCTCCTGCAAGGGCCTCAGGGGTTTGAACGCCCAAGCTTGCGGTTAGCAGCCCAATACATAGCCCA